TTTCTAGTCAAGGTAGATATTAAGCAATTTAAGTTATTAGCACACTTGTATAACTGAGCTCTGATAACACCAGTCTTTCACATGAAGTTCCCTTAAACAATAACAGCATCTTAAACTTGCTTGGTACAAAAGGAATTTATTTAGTCCTGCAAAAAGCTATTTAATCTTTGTACATATGTGGTGCTATTACTGTTTCTATATTTTATTTTGTATTAGAGAAATAGCTTTGAGAACAGTGTGATTTGAAGAGGTCTGTAAACATAACACATTCTAGAAGTACAGAGAAAGTGTGTCTCAAGTCATAAGAAATGCACGGCAGAAATAAAGACTAGGTTAACTTAACTTCCCCCCAAAAATCAAAATCTCAATACTGTAGGAAACTATCAGCAGTTTTCCTTGTTCAAACAAGTCAACAGTTGGGAAACAATAAATCTGAAATGTTATGTACCACCTTTACAGTGCACTTTGTTTTACATTCTCACGACAACCATTCAACTAGAAACTCCCTTCTAAGATTGAGACTGTCAAGTGATATATGTTTCAGCAGCTTTCGCTCTTAGAAACAAATTGCTTCCAAATAAAGCAAGATTGATAATTAAACAAGTTACTGAGTTGAAACAAGCAATGATCAAGTAAATATTACAACTGCTTAACAGTAATGGGGTCATTTCCCCTTCCACTGTGTTTGTCTGCACTGTGAGGTCTCTACTCCTTTCCTTTAAAAACATCATACGTTATTTTGAAGGAGACTTAAGAAATACTATCTAATGTGTTAACAAGTGAAAAGCTTGTGGCAGCAACTGGCTACTTCTACCTGGAGCTTCAGTCCTATATCAGAAACTAGCCCTGTTTGTTCTGGAGATCTATCAAAATATAGCAGGAAAGAAGCAGCTGGGCTTCAAGAAAGTATCAACTAATTTATCTGCACCCCATTTGTAGTAGAGATTTAGTTGCTTCCTTTTTGCATTGTATCCTTCTCTTGTAAACTCATCTTCCCAAAAAGTTTATTCTCCCATACTTTTAGGCTACTAAAAACTGGGTTGTGTAGTTCTTAAATGACAAGATCTTCTAAAACAATTCTCACTTATTCTCACAGTGCCTGTCATTAACAATTTAAATAGTTATAGGGACTAGCACTCTATTATTAAAATCAGTGTTTATGTAAATTTTTCATAGGACTCAGCCTCAAAATAAATCAACCGTGGAGCATCCAGATTTCAACAGTGCTGGAATGCAAAGCTCTCAGCAGAGGTCTGTGGGAGTATCCTCACGTCAAAATGAAAAACTTCAGGAAAAACAAACAAACAAAACCCAAGAACAGTAGCTAATTCAATGAACAAAGAGAAAACACAAGTTTAAGAATAAAAAGAAAATGCTGTGGAAAAATTCATATGTTTGGGGGTTGTCACTCTCTCCAGTCTGTGAGATTCTCATTAGCACACTCACATACAATATGGGGGCCTGTAGAAGGATATGCTGTAGAAAGCAAAGTTGATAAAGTTTTTAAACTCTGTTTTAAAAGATTTACAAATCACAACATCAATTTATTTAATCTAAGATGTCAGGCTTTTTGCAGGAAGTACAATAAAGAGGGCTTTCAGAGTCTACCAGCCAATCTGGAATGTTGCTAGGGAAATATGATAGCATTAAATACATTTGAGTTTCTATTGGCAAAAACACACTCGTTTGAATAATGCTACTGTGCAAACTCCTAGTTGTTCATGATATTTGACCACTTACTATTAGTCACAGCTGAGGACTGTATGGCATAAAGCAAGTAATTGTCTAAGGCAGAAAGAAGCACCTATGTCTTCACTGCATACTTCCAGTATGACAGAGCCTTGAAAGGCCTTACAGGCTGCTGTCATCTCTGAAGGGATAAGACATTTCTGGGAGAGTTGCACTCAAAAAAACCTGCACCGTGCCCTAGAAGCATCTTCACCTCTCAATCCACCTGATAAAAACACCAGATCTGACACTTATCCTCCTCTCAGCTTTGCTTCTGCTACATCAGTTTTACCTTCTAAGAAGCTTTGAGGTTACTCTAGATATATTCCTGGTTAACCTCTGGACATTAACTGCACAGAACTGACAGTCACTAGACACTGAACAGCATATATACTACTTGCAGTGCTCTATTCCAGTTTGGTAACAAGACAAGTGAAGCTGGCAGCCAGTTCTGTCAAAATTCTCTTTTATGCTACAGAAGATGATTGGTATTTCTTTCCCAAAAACAGTGCATTTCCTAACACAACAGGAGTAACATTGTTTCATCTCTTCTTTCAACATGGTAAATGGGAAGTTCCTGCAACATTGTTGAAGTGCAAGAGGTTAAGGAAGTCAGTGTAAATAGAAATTTTTATAACGTTGACTTATATTCTAAAAGGGATTTATCAGAAGCTACCTGGACTGCAAAATTTGTTGTCTCCATCTTCACCTCTAAGTATTTTCTACAGAAGATCCAAAGGCTTAGCAATAACTTCTTATTGTATGACAAATAACTTGGCATTATGTATTGTAGTTTTAATCCCCTATCTCCAAACCTCAGTGTAGATTATACTAAGAAAATCTTAATTCCAAGTCTGTAACTCCAAAAAGTGCAAGTTGGGCAACTAATTTTGTCACGGAAGTACAATGAAATCAGTAGTTCCGGAGAGGAGTCAGGGAAGTTTCAGTGAAGCCACACGTTTCTCAGAAATATCTAAAAATATATATGTTAAGTGCTGCTACAAAGGCTTTTCACCTATCAGATGGTTTTTGAAAGGTCCCTTTTACATTTCATGGAGTATATGCAGTTTTATTCGTAGGTTAGCTTGGTATTTGATTGGCTTGGTTTTTTTGTACATACACTTCAAAACCTGCCCTGAAAGAGTCACTTTTCATTAGAAAAGGAAAACATTAAAAATATAAGACATTCTCCAGAAATTCAATAATAGATCTGTATCTCTACAAAAGTGAATACAGTCTTCATGAAAAGTAAACTCCCCTCCAGCCTGTGCAAATACCTCTAGCTCATTCTCTACTCCACTAGGGTTTAGCAACTTCATTGTAAACGGGCTGGGCTCTAACTCATTGCCCTGCCCAGCAGCATTAGGCAGAGGAATTGCACTAAAATCTATCTGGGTGGCCAACTTCTATCTTGATTTATAAGCCAAGCATAGCTCAGAGGTTCACTAACTTGCCAGGGTAAAGTAGTTAGTACTTCATTTGTTTCCTCTCACTTTTGTTATAAACAAGCATATAAAGCATTCACTCAACCATTCCATAGCCACAGGCATTAAGTGCACCTTACTAGCAATCATCAGCAAGTTTTAAAAAAATATTTGCCACAGAACAAAGAACCAGTGCATACAACAGCAAAGCTAAACACTGTCTGCAGTTTCTTTATTCAGCATCAAGCAAACCAGAGATCTTATTACAACTTCTACTATTGAATTTTTTCCACAGAGTACAGTGGTTTTCTGAATACCAAGCACTTCATAGTGTGAAGCCTAATAATCTTGCTCTGTGCAATATTTTCTGTTCAATATTTACATAACTGTATTTTGGTAAGGATCCAATTAGTGGTATTTTAGTTGACTGCAACCCAGTATCATGAAAGCAATAAAATATTTGGAAATAGACTAGAAAAGACACTGAAGCATTTCTTGTCCTTAGTAGGATGCACACAAACTGTGCTTGCATTCAAAAATGAAATCTCAACTATATTCTGAAATGAATTAAAGCGTCTATCACTAATTAGACATTGAAATGAAGACTCAGGTAGGAATTTCTCAGTGATTAGTCTAAACAGAATGTTTGATAGTTAAATAGTTAATAGATTATCAGAGTAGGTAAGGCAAAAACTTGATATTGTGTACTTCTTTTTATTTCGAAAGGCCTTTATCCTTCTAAGGAAAAATACAACTCTAAGCTCATCAGCTGCATAATTAGGAAGGTAAAGAAATAATGAAAAGATATAGTCTTAAAATATACATCAGGCAAGGAGGACATGAAAAATCAGGAAATGATTACCTCAGAAACAGGTTTGATTCATGCACGTAACAGAATTTGCTTTTTAGCAACAGCAAAAGATACGTTTTTAATCATGCCTACTATTCTATCACAAAGTCCTGAGTTTTTATGGATTCAAAATAAGCTCTTAAATCTATCAATAACCTGGAACTTGCCCACTGATTGGTGGATATTACAGAGAAGATATGAACTAGTTTCCACAAGGAAGACATATTGCCTAGCTAAATGCTCTGCCTTATATGAGACCAGAACAAGGTCTCTATTTTAATACTGTAATAACATCCACTAACTTCCCATTGAGAAATTTCTCTAGGGGCTGTTTCACCTTTCCTTAAAGATAGCAAACTTCTCTCATTTAATGAACATTAACAGGTACACTTAGCTTATGGAAATTGGTTTGGCCCTTCACCTCAAACAATAGCTGTAATTATAACACTGACTTTCTCCATGTTTTTCTCATAGTCTCAGCCCCCACCCATTGCTATGGGATTTGATCCTGTACAAGAGGCAAGAGACTAGGAAGTGAATGCTTTTTAATGTAAGCCGTTAACCTTGAAATATGACTGCTAAACAGACAATTGAAAAGTTGACAAAATTAAAGAAACTATAAAATAAAACAGCGTTTGAAATTTTCTACATTGTAAGATACAGTACCCTCCAAAGTGAGCATTGACTCTCTGTCCCAATTTCTTCCACATAGTTATGATATTTTACAGCATAACAACAGCTGAATAACAGTTATTCCACTCTGAAATTCTCAGACCTTAAATTTTAAGGGAAAGGTACGACACCTTAAGAGTTAACAGTTAGGGCCATGAAAAGAGCTGAGAATAGAAAATAGTTTCAATAGTTTCATCATATCTTACAATCTCTTGCTACTTTTTTCTTTTTTCTTTTTTTTTCTTTTTTTTTCTTTTTTTTTCTTTTTTGAACTGGAAATATAGTGGAAATATAACAAGAAAAGCTTTACATATGTACAAACATACGTGCATTCAAATGGCTCCTCAGTTTCTGCAGCAACCTGACCTTGAAAGACAAAGAAAAATCACTTGAAAGGTATAGAAAATAACTGTTCACTTATGTTTTTTTTTGGTTTTTTTTTTTGTTTATTTTGTTAATTGTAATTGTTTTAATTTGAATAAAAACACAATAATGTAAAATTAAGGAAGCTATAAGCATTATTTCTTCAGTAACCACAAACACGTTAGCAGAAATAGTTCACCTTTCTTCTAATACATGCAAAAAATAAAAAAACAGGAGAAAAAAAAGCTATTCTTAAATTAAAGCTCCATAACCTTCTGTACCTAAACTACTGGAGGATCCTGATTCTCCCCTAAAATCTCAGAGTAAGAGTTAAGCTTTCCATAGAGATATATTCTTCAGTGCATTTTGAACTAATTGATCAGTCTGTTCTCTATATTTTGCATACCTTGTAAAAGGCTTTGTTAGAAGTTGGAGTCTAGTAGCAGTGTAGGAAGGGATTCTACCTGCTTGAGGACCCCTGATGAAGGGATAGCGTGGAACACCTGATGGCATTTGGAATCTGAATGACTCATGTGCTACAGCTGTCTGTGTAGCTCAGAACCTTCTGGAAAGTGACCAAGACATGAGGAGATTTTCACAGGTGTGAGAGATGATTTTAAGGATGTTGTTGCACCTGGATCTGCTTGCTGAGGAAGTGCAGTGAGAAGGCTTAATGATATAAAACATCTGTTCTGGAGCAGAGCCACATCTAGGTGATGTCATGGAGATTGGGGACTGTTTTCTTCAGTGGCAGAGTTGTGTCTGAGGGGGCTTGTAGACCTGACAGACAGATGCACGTCTGCTTGAAAAGACTGTGTTTTGGCTTATGGAAAGATTCTTGAGGATGAATAGTTTTGCTATAGAGGGACAAATGTATGTGAGCATCCCCTGTATGTAGTGATTGTGGTGGGGCAGCAGGAGCATGCAGTAAGAAAAATGTTTGGAGAAGGGTGAGAGATCATCAGCTTCAGGGGTGGTGCTGGCAGAAGTAATTTGCCTGGTAGGGCTTGTGCGAATGAGCAATGGTTTTCTTGTTAAGAAATATGAGTATGCTAGGGGAGAACAGAACCTAAGGATAAGGGTAGAGAGCCTCATCTAGCGTGGGTACCTATGTGTGATCTGAGTTTGTTGTGGGGCTTAATGTGTGTGATCAAAAGCATTTACAAGTGAAGTAAACCATGGGGTTATGGTAATGCAAAGAGGGAATGAAAGAATGAAGCCTTATACAGTGATGGTGGATGTGCGAGCGATATAAGAGGCAGGAGTGTGCAGCAGTAATGTGGCTGGAGGAGTAGTGGGGTTATAGAGCAGAAGATAGTGAGGGAAGTCTCCACAAGCATATACCTATGTATAACTGTGGAGGCTGCAGAACTGTGCAACTACTATCATAAATGTTTTAAATATGAGATGTGTAGCCTTACTGAGAAGGAACTTATAAAGAGTATCTTGCAGAAGAGAAACAACTACCCTGTTTTCAATTGGTTGTGGTCATGACAGGAGATTCTAAATTCCTGTTGTCCAAAAGGGCATATAACCTTTGTTTTTTTGTTTGTGTTTTATAAGGAGGGATGGTGCCTTATGTGCTACTTCTATATACTGTTGTATGGGAACTGCTGAATCACGGCCTGAATCTCTGATTGATCACCTGAGGCGAGCAATGAGTCAGCCACAGAGTGCAGGTGAAGACAATTCACCTGTGTGACCACAAGGGGTGGAGCTTGGCTCCACCTCTTCTAGACCCAATTAAGAGTTGACTGCCAGTGGGAAAGGATCTCTTCTGGAGATTTCTCCTCTGGAGTTTTGTAGTGAGCCCAGGACGTGGGTAAGTATTTTATCTATTCTCTTTTTGTTATTATAACCTGCTTGGCCAGACTCTCTTGTTTATTTCATAATTATAACATCTTTATAATCATTTCTTATACAACTGTGAAGGCAACTGAGCTTAAATACCTCCTCTCTGAAGGAAGCTAGGGAAAAGTAACCTGTGTTGTGGGCAGAGCCTTCTTACAGATTATGTACTTTTCTCTTAAGGGAAAGTACTAGTTTTCTGAGCAAGTTTCTGGGTCAGTGGACTGCTGAAGGGAGTACTGTGTTGTCCAAGAACAGTTGCAAATGAGCAGTTGCAAATTGCTGTGGGGTTAGCTGCAATAGTGCTCAGAGGATGAGTGTCTTGTGTTTGAACAGACCTGAGATTTGTGAAGATACTTCACAGAAGCTGGCAAGGAAGCTTTACACAGGAAAGATGCACAGTGGTGCACACCTTCTATTGGGGGTAGATGTGGAGCAGAAGGTGAGAGGCTGTTTCTAAGTAAAGTACCTGAAGTTTGAGAGGTGTTTAGAAGGGCTTATCCTCCCAACATAGAGACTACTTGGAGGGAGGGGAAGGCCTTACTCAGGAATGGCAGACAGCTGTGTGAATTCCTTTTGCTGTTATGAGGGCAGCAGAAGCATGCAGTTGAGTTTGCCAGCTGGATGCCTCAAGTTTAATTGGACTCATGTCAGCAAAGGCCCTTGTTGTGAGGAATGGATTCCTGCTGGGGGTGGAGGGGTCAGGGGTCTAACTTAGATGCTACCTTCATTTGTGAAGGTAGTGGGAATGTGTGTGGCTGCAGTGATACTCATGAGCTGATTAGTGTTTGTATTGACTTGTCTTGGAAAAATGTTCCCTGCCAGAAAGGATTAGCCACCATGAGGAGGAGCAGATGCTTGTATGAGTTCATGTGGTCTGTGAAGGCAGTGGAGCTGGCAGGAATGTGCAAAGTGCCTTTTGTATGAGAGGCATCTGAATGAGCTTGTGTCTTTGGGGAAGGGATTGTTAGCAGGAGATGAAGGAGGTTTGCCTGAAGGGAACAGATGCCTTTTAGGATGGCATGGTAAAATGCGTGCTGCAGCAGCATGATTTTGTGAACAGAGGTATTCAGGCAAGCTTGCTAGCTTGTGAGAAACACGTGGGGAGAGCAGCCTACTCTAGGACTGACACATGCGTGTGTGCAGCTTCCATATGTTTTGAGGGTGGTGGAGGTGGCAGGAGAGTGCTGTGATGATATTCATGAGCTTGAATGCCTCATGCTTCAGTGGGTTTTTCTTCCAGGAAGACCCGTTATGGGGGTAGGGTGAAGTATTGCCCTCAAGAAGCAGATGAGAAGCTTCCACATGTTCTGAGAATTTTGTGCATTTGGCAGCTATGTGAGTGCATTTGGTGGGTGTTGGTGAAAAGGTATCCACTGGAGGCTGGTGGGAAAGCCTGGCGTGGAAGAGGGAAACACTAGTGCATGCCTTCTGTTCTGAATTTGGGAGACTAAAGGGTATTATGATGTTTTCATGCTAGATTTCTCATGTTTGGGAGAAATTTAGGTAGACTTCCAGTGTTTTAGGAAGGAAACTGCCAAAAGAGTAGGAAGAGTTATGCCAAGAAATGGGAGATACATTTGAGGGTAAGATGGAAAGAAGAGGGTGCAGAGGTTATGGTGTTTTTCTGCTTCATGCCCAGATGAACCTTTAGCCATGTGAAAAGGGAGTCCTTGCCCTCGATGACCCTTATCCACAAGCTAAGTGCCTCAATGTCAGAAGGGGCAGATGCCCCTATATAATGTCTATATGCTTTGAAAGTAATATAGGTAGCAGAAATGTATGACAGAACCGGCATGCAGAAGAAAAAGGAGTGGTGATGGAGTGAATAATCTCAATAAGAGGCCCTCTATCAGCAGCTAAATCTTTCCCCAGGAATAGTAGATCCCTTTGAGAGGAGGAAATTCAGATCATGTAGTGACAATGGTACTAAATGTCTAATGTCCAATAGTGTCTGAATTTTCCTTGTGAGAAAGGAAAGATCCTCGTTAAGGTATGATTGCCAATGCACAGCTTCCTTTTGGAAGGGCTAGGTGTGTTTTGAGAGGGCAAAACAAGGAGGATGCTCCTTGTCTAGGAGGGAGAGAGGCTTTTGAGGGGAGATACAGCTGATATGAGCTTGCTTTGGTGATATCGTGAACAGGAGGAAGCCTATCTAAGCAGACTTCTTCCAAAAATGCCATGTTCTCTGGAGGTGAAGAAAGCCTTCTTGGAGTGACTGTTGTCACCTCCTGCTTGCCATTTTCTGATTTTGTGGGCAACTGGTATGTGTGGGTGTAGTGGAGTTCATGAACTCAGTGACTTAGGTTTGGGGGTTCATCTAGAAAAAATCCCAACAAGTGGGAGTGGGCGGTAATGGGTGAAACCTTGCTGAAGAATGACAAAGGACTGTTATTGTGGCATAAGCTACAGGAGAGGTAACACGAATTTTCATGCTTGAGCTTCTTGCTGAGGAGTTGTTAAAAACTCACTAGTGTTACCCATGTTTTAAGCATAATTACAGGAAGGAGTAACCAACAACCTGAGTTAAAATGTCCTATCATGCTCCCCCTCTATAGGCTTTCACAGTGCTATTTTCTTCAACTCCCTCTTAGACTGAGGAGGCTTTCTCTGAAGCCTTCCACCTGCTTGATTCTCCACTCTAAAACAAGTTCACAGCCAACCCACCTCAGGCTTTAGCTTACACTTTCCTATGTTTCTCTGACTCCCTAATTCAGAATACCTGTATTTAGGATTCTCATACTTCATCTTTTCTTTCCTGTCTATCTCTTCCTTATGCCTGGCATAGTTGCAAACTCCATATTGCCCAACTGCACCACAGCCCCTCTTAGTACTCACCTGTTTCCCATTTCTTGAACTCATCAGGAATTTCTGTTAGCTGTTGTCTTTATGCCACATTCAGATGGAAATGGGAGGCTGAACTTGATCAGTTAGACTTTTGCAAGTTGGCTTTCTGAATCTGCAAATCCTTTGCTGCCTGGAAGATGCTATTAATGCACAGTGGCCATAATTTCAAGCTTAGAAATCCTGTGGACCATCAACTTTAGGAAGCATGATCTTTCTAGAACTTGAACTGAAGTTAGTTTGGGTTATTGTTTAACTTGATTGGAATGAGATTACTTGCATTCCAAATATTGCCCACTGTGCCAAGCATACTATTATACCAGGGGTATTCAGTCAGGGTAAAGGTGACTGATTAATGTTTGTTTGCTGTAAACGGAAGAGGTGCTGAGCAGAAGTTGAAATATAAAGGGGAAAAATATGAAAAATTAGCATGGTACTTTTAACATCTAAATTCACCCTATGAGATACGGGCTTAATCTTTCAGAAAACTTAACATTAACAGTCAGGAGGAACTGTTTGTTACAAAGCATCTTTATACGGAAAGCTGTAATTCTTAAATTGTCTGGGTTTATTTTGAAAATATCCTGCATATGCTGTTATAACAATTGCTTAAAAATGCAATGTTTTAGTTCATTTAGCATTTTTTTCATGCCTCTTTAGGAATATCTTAGAAGTAGAGAAAACATCTCTTACAGTAGTATGATGTAGAAACAGATACAGTTTGTGAACTGTCTGCTGTTACAGTCACTGATTGTAAGAAATGCTTCAGTGTTCCTCTAGTCCTACAGGGTTATTTTGAAGGCTCCTCTCAGCCCAACTGGCCATCCTTCAGCGGGCTTGAAGACTGTAAATTGCAGATATTGTCTCAGA